TAACTAAGCTATGAAAATTCAATTGAGCACTTGGAACATATGAATGTCCATAGCTATTCCCTAGAGCACTCCAAGTGCTAGATTACCTGTTGATTGTGGTGAGGGTAAGTCATATGGACTTTTAATGAATCTCTAACCTTGTAAAGGTGGAGTATGACATGATACTCTTGATAGGGAGGTCACCTATATGAGTGTGAAGTGTGATCCACTTCAAATGTAAACACTTATGAATCCATTGCGTTGTATCTGACCAAAACGGACACAACGTTAGAATGGAAAGGAGTAAAGACTCTATTGTGTGAGTGTCATTGTTTTGGTGTACACTATGGAGGAATAGTTCAAGACATTATGTCCACTAGGCCGTCAGTGCATCCGATGATGTTTACTAAGAAAGGTTCAAAGCCAAAAGCTATCTTTTTTGATGCAATAGAGTTTTGTGAGAATTGAGCACAGTATTCTATATATATTACACTTTTATGGGGGATTGTTAAAGAAAAGTGTAATGGGGCGGTGCAGCCGCACCACTTTGTATTAAAAATATAAGAATTATTGGCCATATTGCCAACTTGAGCTGCCAACTATCAATAAATAAATATATATTATTGCAATTTTTGAAATAAAACCGCGTAGAAGGTGTGACTATTGGCCAACTTGTGCCTTCGGTTCTTCCTATAAATACTTCATCGGGCAGAGGGAAAATTTGCACCAAACAGAGAAAGAAATCGAGAAGAAAGGAAAGAGAAAGAAAAGAAAAGAAATATTTATGTCCAAATATCGGATATAAAAATATCAAAAGAGAGAAACGAGTGATATTTTTATTTGTTTTAATATATTCCTTTTATTTCTAAGTGTTCAATTCTCGACATGTTCTCGTTTGTCGGAGCTCGTAAATCTGGTGTGCTACAGATTTAGAGGCGTTTGCCATTGTATCTTTGGGGAAGTTACGCCTGAACCGTTAGCCACACACGGAGCGTATTCTTTTTGCGGAAAGAGTTTTACTCGCCTCGGCTAAAATCTTTCCGTTTTTCAGTTGTTATTTATTTTTCAGTTCAATTGTAACTTTCTATTTTTTTAGATTATTTGTAAGAACTGAAAATTACATAATAGTTCGTAGGATTCCCGTGTAATTTACACCTATATTCCAACAAAGGGTTCTTCACTAGATAAGTTGCCGACTACTATGGTTTATGAGGAGGCCCGGAAAACATGAGAGCAATTTTGTGGAAAAAAATTAGGTTTCAATTGTTGGTGATGGAGTGGTCCGAGTGGAGTTTCATTGTCAGCTCTTGAAAACCTTTCTTCATTTCCTCCTTGCTTTGACTAAGAAATAGGAAGATAATCTTTGAAAAAGTTTAAGAATCCAGAAAAAGAGGGAGAAGAGTGCCGATGGCTCACAAAAATTTTCTCAAATGGTAGAAAAAAATGTAGACTGTTGAGTATGGTGAGGGGATTTTGACATGATTGTTGCGTGTTGGAAGATGAATCTTTTGCACCAAGAAAGAAAATATTTAATTGACCACAATAACTTTTAAAAATACAGTAAAATTGGGGGCATATAGTTATTGAAGACATGGATACGTGTAGCCCATAGAAGCATTTAAAATGGGACATGTGTCGCCTATTGAGGCAACATAACTTCTTCATATATATATACTAGTTGGCTTCCGGCTGTGCGCGCACAACCGACTCAAATTCAGTCGATAATCAAGTTAAAATTTGAGTAAGTTTACCCTTATAATCTTCCACATGTTTCTAAAAGTAGTAGGAATGAAATAGAGGACCTATAGATAGAGTATCTACAATTGTATAGACCAACTAATAATCTTAAGATTCTTAACCAATAATTTAGTATCTAATATATGATTTGGTTCAATTTCCTCTCCGACAAGTAATTGATTCACTCGTATTAGGAGACTGGTTCAGCTCATGTTTCAGCTCATCTGTCGCCAGTTTTTTTGGGGCTCATACTTGTGCGTTGTCCTCCTCGTGCCCCTCATCATTTGCCTTGTCCTGACTGTATTTCAAAAGAGTAAAATATAAAGGCAATATAATTTAGAAAAGTGGCACTTGAAGGCTATAATCCTATTTAAACACGAAGATAGCAAGCAAGCTTAGTGCCCCTCTTACTGTTAAAACAATGAGGTCGTATATATTTTGTTAGCAACATAAATCTGTGAAAATAAACAAAGAATCCAACATGCAATTTGATCACACATATGTTTATAATTATTCTATTTCCTCCTCAAATGCTTTGAGCCTTAAACAATAACCAAGATTTTATATGTTTAAACTCGAGAGTGGAGCGAAAAATGATTTTCACTACCATTATATCTCTTTGGAGTCATATCCTTGTCATGAGCGAGTTATGACAATTCATCTAAATGAGTCATATCCTTGTCATCTAGAGGACCTAATAAGGTTATGATTATACCGGTAAGGACATATTCCCTTTTTTGAGGGTGGTTATTTACGTTGAGAAGACATAGTACCCTGTCACACGCCAATAGGAGGGCCAGCTGCAAAAGATTAAAATCCATAGAGAAAAAAGTCACAAAAAGAAATCAAAATGGATAGAAGCAAAGACAGAATTTTCAGAATTATGACTCTGCTTCAGTGTGCTTCAGTGAACAGACAATTCATCCTC